TTATTAAGTATTTTAATTTTATAGAAATTGCTTATATAATGCGAAGAAGAAAATGCAGGCTATTGTATAAAAGAATGACTTTAAGAACTATCCCCTGCCCCCAGCACACACAAGAGAAGAGACTTAGGGAAGTGGACTAAAATGTTAACATTGGATGTGTTATTTGTGATTCATGTTACTTTTCAGTATTTGCCAAACATTCTATGAGTGTGTATTTTATACTTAGAAAAATATTAATTTTTTTTTTTTAAGAAAGAGGAGCTAGGCCTTTCAACCTTCCGACAAACTTCCTTACACTCTTCTCTGGGAAATTCTAAATTTCTATTTACAAAATGTATTTAAAGAGAAAGTGGCAATTTTTGAGCATCTACTCTGTGCTCACCACGGTGTCAGTTGGTATGAGAGGTAAGTAAGAAGAATAAAGACTGTTTCATTTTTTAGGAGTTTTGCCTCTCCCATAGGCAGTACGAACACAGGAGAAAATTACATATTAGACAATGTGTGATTAATGTAAAAGATGTGTGTTGTAAGCCTTCAGGGAAGTTGGGGATGTGAGGGATGGGTAACCTTGGAGGAGACGTTAATTAAATAGGGCCTTCATTGATAGAGAGTAGAACCTTCTAGAACTACATGAGCTAGACAAAGAGACAGGAAGAAGCATAACATAAATATAGAAAACGGGGACAGGATTGGCCTGCTCCTCTTTCCGTTTTTGTTCTCTATCCAGTCTTTCACTTACATGCTTCATTTATAACCATCCCCTGAAATTGGTGATATTGTCTTTTTCAGTGATCAAGACCGTCTTATTCCTTCCCTGGTGAGTGTACAGTTGTCCCTTATTTACAGGAAATAATCTACTACTTTGCCACTCCAAGGTTTGCTCACCAACCGACTGCATCATCCTCATCACCAGGCAGTTTGTACGTAATACAGAATCGCAGGCCTCACTTCAGACCCACTGAATAGAAATCGTCACTTTTACAAGATTAACTGCACATTAACATTTGAGAAACACTGGTATAGTATACAACACTGTCATACAGCCTGAATCACAGGTAAAGGAGGCAGCCGCAGTGTAGTTTAACAACTGAAGGACTGACAAGGCTCTCCCCAAACAAAATTTTTTGCTATTATCCTTCCCCGACAGTGCCATGATAGGACTCAGTCTCTGAGGGGATGATGGATGACCTGGGAGGACTACATATTAGCCAGCACTTGAGCAAGAATCTTTTTACCAAGTTAACCACAGCAAATACCTGTTTTGTACTGTGCAAAAAAGAGTGAGATGTGGCTATTTGGGTAAGCTCAGAGTTATTTATGTTCAAACGCTGGTGAAGCACAGAAATGGAGGGTGCTGGATCCTCAGGAAGATGAAATGGGGCACTAGGAGAGCAGACAACCCTTGGTTGGGGAGCTGAGGAGCAATGAGGGCAGCTTCTTCTATTTCACAATTATGTCTGTGTCGCATTACAGCCCAGCCTCCTTTTCGCTTCTTCATTTGAAGAATTCTCTGCCAGCATGGAATTTTGCTTGTTATCAGCCGAATCCTGTTTCTAAATCTTATTGGCTATCAATTCAAAGTGAAAATAAAGGCCCAGTGGCTGATGCTATTGGGTTAGGGGTGAGGCAGAGAGGTAAGGAACTATAGGGGGACAAAATCAGATCCGATGTTCTGTTGTGAAATGGTGGCCATCCATTTTCCATCAAGCGTAGTTTTCTTCAGAGTTTTAATTAGGTGATTGGCCTAAGTCACAGTGAAACCTTTGAGGTTTTGTGAAGGAGGGGCAGAGTTGTTGATTTTAAATCCAAGATTTTTGGTTCCCTTCTTGGTTTTCAGAAATGAAGTTTGGTTTCCTGAGAGAAAGATGAATCTTCTTTAGGTTCCTTAAGGAATTGACTGAAGGGACTGGATTAAATGAGGGAAGAGAAAACGAGTCGGCAGAGATATGTCTAAACAAGTAAGAAAAATGACTCCAAGCTCATGTCTTGTGAGTTTTGTTTTAAACAATGTATAAAAAAAGACATTAATGTGAGTGACTAAACTACAGCCTGTTATCAATGTCTTCAGGGACTCCAAAAAGTCAGAGGAAGAATCCCCATGATAATTTAGGCCATTAGGCTTAGTTTCAGAGGTGGCTTAGTTTCATCATCCTGCCTTGCTTCCCACTTAAAGTGAGAAAGTGCAGAATTTCCCCCAGCCAATGGGATCCCGACTATCCTCTCTAGAAGTCTATCCTAGGCTATGAGACAAAAAGCTTATAAGAAAGGTGTGTGCTAGCCTTGCTGGATTATCTCCTGTGTTTGTCATCCTTAGGCATTATTCTTTATATACTCTGTCAACTAAAGACATCATAGGATATATCCACCCATTTTAGAATCAGCAGGTGATGACCACTAGACATAGGAACTTGCGAGAAGTAGGGCAGTGGTGGTGTCATGGGGATGATAGAGACAAGGACAGGGATCAGTTTCACAGTCTCCCATCTCTGCCCATGTGTACCTTAACCATTAGAGCAGACTTTAAAAGTTTTATCAATAACTTAGCAAGGGCATACAGAATAATTAATTTCCTTACTGTAAGGAACTCAGATCTGGTATCCAGGCTTGCTGAAGGATACCGGTGCTGATGAGATGAAGAGTTCTTTTCTTTTCTTTTGTTATTCTGTTCTCAAATTCAGTAGATGTTTTTGTCACACTGTACTCACACATTCAGATGCGTCAACATATATGCCAAAACAATTATATGACCTATACATTTTGATGAAATATAAAGTGAATGAATATCTCTGCAATGAAAGTATTCATATCTAGATTTCAAAAAAAACATTTGAAAAAGAAGTAGTGAAACATAATGTAGTTTTATTTTGATGAGGATAATTCTTAAACTACAGTTTTATACAGAATAAGTTAATGATTTTTCCATGTGCGATTAAAATATAAAACTGCGGGAGTAGGGAGGTTTTTACGCAACTAACGCATGGCTTAGACTTGCCTCTCAGATCCTTTCTTACCCTGAGATTCTATGATGAAAATGATGCTGAATACATAAAGCTACAGAGTGTGGTGGCTCACTCCATATCCCAGACAGTTCACCTGCAGGAAAAGCAGACTACAGAATTTTCATGGGAGTTTTGACAGCCATTTTTAAATCAGTCAATAAATATTTTTTGGGTACCTTCTGGTGCAAGACACTGCCTGGCACTTTAGAGAATTCAAAGAACAAGGATTTTTTCCTGAAGACATTTTCAAAATTGTATTTTCCCAAATTTCTGAGATCTTCTTATGAAATTGTCCCCAGGAAATTTTCTCCTAAGAAACTCTTTAGAGTTAGAAGGTAATTTTCTAGATAATTCTGAGAATTCTTCTGCTTCAGGCAAGGACTATCAAGATAATAGGTTAAAATGCCATTAAAACAAACAAAAAAACAACAAGATATGTATCCTAAACAAGGCAATATAGAAATATCTAGTTTACAAAATAATTTACACTATTTAATCCATATACCAAGAAAATGTGTCTGTCAAATAATTCTACCAGGACATGAAGAATAAGTCTTTGTGTTAGTAGTAGTGATTCTATGCCAGCAGAACCACTTATACTGTACTAGCAAAGAAAACTAACCATCAAGCATTTATTTGTTTAGGACACTGTTTCCCAAAATACACTCTCCAGATCCTGCAGATTATGAGTTGGTGACAGGGTTTGGCAAGTCCTAGTATATTTTTATGAATTCTCAGTCCCAGAGTGGCAATTTCTTCAATCCTTCACTGCCTACCTTCCTAAGCCTTGTCCTGAGGCTGCTAATTCTGGATAAGTAGCCTGTCTTCCGTCCGCATTTCTCCTTGAATGTATTCCTCTTGCTGAGCTGTCTCTAGGCTGGGTCAAGAAAAAATTAGGGTAGAATTTAAAGAGTGGATACAAAAGAAGGGAGAGAGACAAGGCATGTTAAGGTATGAAAATGGTGTAGCAGGGAAAAGGAGAAGGAGCCCCGGTGGTGCAACACTTAAGCGCTCAACTGCTAACCAAAAGGTTGGCGATTTGAACCCACCTAGCATCTCCGTGGGAGAAAGACCTGACGATATGCTCCTGTAAACGTTAGAGCCTAGAAAACCCTATGGGGCAGTTCTACTCTGTTATATGGGGTCACTATGAGTTGAAATTGACTTGACAGCACCTAACAACAAAAACAAGAGAAAAGGATAAATCAAAGAGAAGAGAGGAGTCAGAGAAGAGAAGGAATGATTGACAAGTGATATATTAGGAGACAGTATAGAAAGGTGGGAAGAGAGAAAGACATACTAGAGAAAGTAGATATAATGAAAAAACTAGTGATGGTCAAAGATAGTTTAATATGTAAGTAGTGATAGAGAGGGAGAAGATGGGAAACTAAAAATGGAAAGCTAGACATAGGAGGGTAGAGAGAGAGAAAAAAGAAGCAAATAAGATAAGAAAAGAAATGATAAAGGAAAAGAGAGAGGAATTGGAAGAAAAAATGCCAAAAGAGAATATTAATTAGGGGAGAAAAAAAAAAACAACTCTGACAAAGACCAATACAAGAAAAAAAAAGTGTGCGACACTTCACGACTATAATGATGTATAGACTTCCATACATAAAATGGAAAGTTCATTTGCCTTTCAGTCTTGCAAAAGCAGACAATTTTGCAAGAATGGGATTTTGAGAGAAAAAGGAAGAATCAGCAGGTAAAGGGAAACTACCCCAGAAAAGTGGCTTCCAAGTTTTAAGGCAGTGGTGGTCATGGGTTTCCTGCTTTTAAATTCTGTACTAATCTATGACAATGCCGGATCCAATGACCCCCAGAGGTCCAACCTCATCAGCACCACGTGGGCCACTACTGTTAGTTTTCTGGGATGAGGAAAAACTTCAGGATCACCAAGAGGGTCAAGTACTTAATGGAGTCTTAGGGGAAAAAGTTTGGGAACCACTGGTATAGAATATCAGTTATTTTCCTTCCCTAAAAAATGCTTGGTTGAGATGATCCCTAAGCCTGAAGTAATAAGCAGTCTTGTATCTGGTCCTGTGGATTGGATTCAAATGGAGTGTGCTCACCTGCATTAAGTGTGTTTACATTCACACTATTGAATTGTGCCCCAGTAGCTAACTCAGCCAATGTGTTAGGATTTTCAGTAGGCATAATTGAATCCCCATCAAATGGGCCTTGCCTTCCATTGCTAGATGGAGTTCCAGTGCCAGAGAAGTGATGCTTTGCTAATCTGCCAAAGCATGGTAACTGTAGGATGCTAGGTGGCCTTTGTTGCTGCCTCTCACCCTCGTTTTCTAGGACTTCACTTTGCATTGCTTCTGGTTTAGGATCTTCATCAGGGGTACCTATAACAAGTTGCTCAGGGGTGAGGTTAACAGTTCTTTCATTGGGTTGGTTGTCTTCAAATATTTGTTCCATAATGTTGTTCTCATCTCCGCCAAGATCACTTTTGAGACATGGCGTATTCATTTGAAGGGAGCTGGTTTCAGGAAAAGGCATCATTCCCCTTTGACCCAGTTGATTATTTATAGAACATGGTGTGTTCCTCCTCAGAGTGGACACATCATCTCTAAAACGACTTGGGTTTTGGCTTTCCCCAGGCAGCCTCTTCTCTGAGCTGTTTCTTCGGTCAGGTAGGATGCTTGTAGGGGAGATGATATGTCTTGCATGCTTAGTATGACTACCTTCTGTATATAGAGGACTGGTGTCTTGGTTCTCCCCTGGTGCAAGACCAAAGGATGTAGTGTAGTCTTGTATAGCAAGTGGATTGTCCTTGGGCCCTATGGAGCCACCAGCACAGCAGGGACCTCTTTGGCTCGGGTGAAATAAATTTGCTTCTTTCTGATCAGCTGGGTATCTTTGCGGAATTAAGTCTGCGAAAGCCAAATGTTCCCCATCTGGTGAATTTAACCTAGTAATTTGCATGCCATAGTTCAAATTCTCACTGTCATGCCAGGTTGGATTTTTCTGAAGCCAAGCTGGGGAGTTACTGGAATAGGGCTGGTTCTCTTTATGGTCTGGTAGGGTAGCTGGTGCTTTGTGTAAATTAGTTGTCTGATCCCAGAAATTTCTGTTAAAATATGGCCCTCTTTCTTTTGGTCCTTGAGCTTGAATCCTGTGGTCCCAGGAGTTCCAAGAAGGAAATAGAGGACTTTCTTCTTGTCCAACAGCATTATTAACATAATAGCCCCTGCTCTCCACAGGTGGTGGTATAGTAGGAGCTGTATTATATGATGCAAAATTCTCATCTGGGCCCCAGGGGTAAAATTCACCATATGGAAAATCCTCCCTGGGTTTTGAAGGATTATCTAAGGAATAGGGAAGATATTCTTTTGGCTGATTTGAGGCATATTGTTGGCCTTCATAGTGCCTAACCGTTGGGCTTCCTTTAAAGCTCGACTCTTCCTTACCCCATCTACCTGGTCCTGGGAAATGTTCATCTCCAGTTGGATCATTGGGGTCCTCTTGATTATAAGGGATTGTCTCTTTCTGGTCTAGCGTATTCACGGGGTACAGTGGATTTTCTGGTTGCCTCATGGTATTGGGAGAATCACCTCTCTCATCCCATGTATTGCTTCTAAGGTACGGTGAGTTTTCTCTGGGATCGTAGGGGTTATATTCAGAGTAGAACACATTTCCTCTAGAGCCATGGGAAGGATGCGGCAAAGGTCCTTCCTGTCTTCTAGGATCTTCCTCAAGAGTTGGAGAGATTTCTTGGTCATTCCAGTGGTTTCTTTCAGCAGGAAAATGTTCTCTTGCAGGAGAAGGAATTTCCTCAGGGTATATGGGATGATGTGTACTGTGGTTTAATTCTGGTCGATTAGTTTCTGGTTTATATGGGATTCTTCTTGGTTCTAAAACAATCCCTTTGGGCAAATACTGGTTTTGAGTTTGTCCATCAGAATTTTGGACTCTCCTGGAATCTCTTGGGTAATAGGAGTTTTCATGTTGATCGATGGAATTAAAGCTTGGGACTTGCATGTTTCCCTCAGAACGAGGCAGTTTATAATTTGCTTTATCGACTCCGTAATCTTGAGAGTTTTTCCAGGGGCCAGTTGGATCCTGTGTAGGAACAACTATTCTTTCTTTTTGACCTATTGGCTTCTCTCTTGGATTTTGGATTTTTTCATTGAGGCCAACGGTACCATGTTTGGTTCCCAGTGGGGCAACATTGGCTCCTACAGGGTATTTATTTGGCCACTGAGGCTTTCTTCTGAAATTTGCAGGGTTTCCTGCATAATTGAAAGAATTACCTCTTGAAATGGAAGGGTAAGCTTTGCGATAAGCTGGATTTCCTGGACGAGCTGCTTGTTTGCCTTCCAAAGTAAAGGAGTTCCACCGAGGACCCCTGTGAACTTGTTGATTTCGGTAAAAAGGCCCATTCTGTCTGTGACCCATGGCAGTACCAGTGGGACGCCATTGTCTTCCTGTAGGAGAACCTTGGACACTAGGATGTGGATAATTTTCATAAATATTTGGGTGAATTTGTCCCCATGGAATTTGAATTCTTGATGCTCCCTGGTTTGAAACATTAACTGTAGAGTGAGAAATGACCCCATTTTGAGCTGTATGGTTGCTCCCCGGGTTTAGATCATGACTGTTTCCTGTTGGGGTGGTGTCATTTCCTCCCTGACTCCCTCCAGAACCAGGCACATTCTTTTGGGTTGAATTAGTCTCAGGAGCAGTTGAATTAACTGTGGGATCTGTAGCTGGACTCTCTGTTTTAGGGGGATCTTCTTCTTTCGGTTTTTCAAAATCTTGTTCAAACATTTCTTCTGAATAATAAGGAGGGCGACCCCCAAATCCGTGATATCCAAAATATCCAAAGTAAGGATGCTGTAGGAAAGAAGATGGGAATCAGTAATTACTCTTTTTTCCGACCATGGTATTGTTTGGAATTTTTTAGTGTGATAAGGAAATTCTATCAGCCACATATTTCTTTTACACTATTGGCTATGCTTTCTTTCTTGAAATTTGATGCTTCCTTGGTTTCTATGACCCTACTCCCCTCTGGTTCTCTAACTTTCTGACCACTTCTTTTCAGCCGTCTCTTTCTATGCGTAGCTCCTAAATCTGAGTTTGTTTTTTTTTTTTTAAAGGGGTTGTGTCCTCCATCCTCCTCATTCTTCTGTTATCACTTCACACTCCTGTTTTGAAGTCTATTGCAGGCTCATATCTTCAATATGAACACATGCCAGTGACTCAAAAAGGCATAAACTTGGTTCAGGACACCCTCTGCTGAGGTTGAAGCAGCAAGACTGCTCTACTAGGAGGCGGGGCCAAGATGGCAGAGTAGTCAGATGCTTCCAGTGGACCCGCTTACAACAAAGACCCGAAAAAACAAGTGATTCGATTATATATGGCAATCTGGGAGCCTTGAACATCAAAGGCAGAGTTGAGGAACCGCACTGAGTGGCGGGGGAGGGAGAGACGGTTCAGAAGCAGTGAGGAGTTGCCAGACGTGATCTGGCAAGAGCCTGAGCCCTTTAGGCTTGATCAGCTCAGGATGGAGCCGTGAAGCAGGCATGCAGCTGTGCGCTGGAAGAATGTTTTCCACACTGGGGGAAGACCCAGCCGCTGAGAGTCTACAGGCCACCCAGAACCAGTAAGAAGCAACCCTTGATCTGGCAAAAGATAAGTAATTGCATATGGCTTACTGCGCGGATCAAAAACACCCCCCTTAGGTAAAAACCTCGCTTCTGTTTACCTCCCTGCTCCCTGCTCTGCACTGGGTCCTGGACCGACTTCAGCAATTGCCAAGTCCCCTGGGCCAGAAGTAGGATACTTCACACACCCAGAGCCATTCTCCCTGCCTTGAAGAGTGAACAAATTAACAAACGGGAAAAAATAAACTGCTGGCTCCCCTAAGCCAGGAACCCAGGGTAGGCACAGCTCCTTTGCCTAGGCATAGGCATAAGGGATCCACAGACTTTGAGTGCCTTTCCTCCTGCATAGACTTGTGTGGGCCCATCTCAACAGCATAGGCCCTCATTACCACAGTACAACAAGGTATATACCGGAAGTCTAACTTCAACTGTTTCAGCTGTGAAGTGGCAGGTACTTGACATCTGACACTGCTCTGCCGGTTAAGCATGGTCTTCACCTACCCACATCAGGGGCCTGAGGACTGGTGGCTCCACCCACGCCACCTAGCCACCTGCGATAGGGGCCCATGAATAAGAGGTGCCCCTAGTCCTTACAGCCAACAGCAGTAGGTACTCATAGTCCAGCTGCAAACCCCCCCCCCACCTAAGCGCTCTAGGGAACAGGGACACGCCTTCCTCCTGGACACTTGGGAGTGGCTATCAGCCGCCTGCCTTGCTCAGAGTGTGTCCCCTGCTGCAGCCAGTTACCTGTGCCTACACCAATCACCCATGCCTGTCGAGGGCTGTGAGTGAGAGCGTACACCACACACTTGGCTATCTACCTGCGCGCCTGAGCTGAATCTATACAGAAGGAGTGGGTGGACTCCTGAGCTCACATACCTAGTAACAGATCTAACCACCTGGTGACAGGACATTGGAGCTTCAAAGTTGCCAATAATCAAACTAGCTCATACGAGCAGCCTATTTGGACATATCAAAACAAGAAGCTAGGACACAGTAAGCAAACGTTAAATAAATAAATATAATAACTTATTGATGGTTTGGAGACAAGAGTCAGTATCAAATCACATAAAAAGGCAATCCATAATGGCTTCAGCAAGCTCCCAAGATAAAGAATCTAGAAATTTTCCAAAGGAGGAAAATTTCTTGGAATTACTGGAGGCAGAATACAAAACATTAATCTATAGAACTCTTCAAGAAATTAGGAAGGAAATTAAGCAAAACACAGAACACGTAACAGAGGAAATTAAAAAGATTAGAGAAGAGCACCATGACAAACTTAACAGGCTGCAAGAATCCATAGAGAGACAGCAATCAGAAATCCAGAAGATTAACAATAAAATTTCAGAATTAGACAACTCAATAGAATGTCATAGGAGCAGAATTGAGGTAATGGAAGTCAGAATTAGTGA